GTATATGAGTGATCTGACTATATGAAACATGCCACTCATCTCCTCCTCATATTATTGTAAACATGGTAACTTCCAAACCGAAAATGATTATTGGTTTTCCTTCATTCGTCTCACACTCGATCCTTACAAATTTCAGACTGGTAATCTCCGCCTGAGGTGTGAACAAAACTTATGTGGACTGCTCCAGTCAGATGAATTTTGTCTTATTGATAGATCAAGTTTGATACGTCTTGGACTATGCTTTTTTTCTGACCTTTCCTAGTGCACATTATTCTATCGATTGTCCTTCGCTTGACATTTTATTTGGGGAGACCACAGCTGTTTGTTATAGTTCAGCCTCTACTTTTACCTTCCGTTAATTTCTGTGTTTCACCTACTTATATTTTTTCCTTATTCTTTCCTGACAAGTGGAAAGGAAACTGTGGTGCAGTGCTTACGATTTTGAAGGCTTTCAGTAGAGCCATTGCAATGCTACCGGCTAATTGTAGAAAGCGGTCTTAACTTTCGTAAACGTCTGGCTACAAATATTTTCTACGATGGTAAGCATCCTCTGCATTTTCACCTCTGTCCGTTTCCATCCTCAAAGTACAAGAAACGCATAAATGAAAATTAATGAACGTACAATTGCATGCAAGGTTTAAACTGTGTCTCATTTAAGTTGCACCATGTGCGAAGGAAGGCATGTAAGAATGACACTCACCAAATGAGTTATGATGAATAGGTATCTTAGCCTTGCAGTCATCATGTATTCAAATAGTCTTACGATTACTCATGACCAATCGGTAGACACTGTTATATTTAGGACTCATCAGAGTGATTGTTGATGTTCCCAATAAGACTCAAACTCAGTACTCTTCAAACCCAAAAACTTCCGCCACTAGACCACTGGGATATGTGAACACTGGTGAATCCACATACGCACTTATCAACCAACAGTAGTGGATCGATTAGACCCAGTACAGCAACTACTGCAATACTGCATTCTGAGAGTTTTGAAATAAACACAAGTTAATGGTTTGACTAGCGCTACCACTACCAATGTTATTTCTTTGTCAAGTCAACAATTTTCTGTCAAAAATTGTAAGCAGTTTGTTCTTACTGTACAGGCAGCTGCTGAGAAACTTGGAAATTAAATGAATTCAAGTTATTCTGCTAAAACTGTTGTTTTCGCCCTATGTGATTTTATAAAAGATGAGAAATGTAGCGAATTTTGATAGGTTAGTTTTTAGGGAAAAAATGTAATCCTTAGTTGGCTGTGCTGAATGGAAGAAAACAAGAGCGAATATTAAGTGAATATTGAAAACGTAGGCATTGTTGTATAACAGCTCTTATTTACGCTGTCTGATACTTTCTTCCGTGCTATTTCTGCAACTTTAATTCGACTAGAGATTCTAACCAAACAACATAAGAACTGTTATATATCATGCTACGAGTCTCTACATTTCCTTCTACTCAAACTGAAGAGGTGCTTACAGCTTCGATTGTATGTATACCGGAAATAATTTCCGGGATTTTCTCGATAATCAGTTCATTGTGAAGGATTGATTTGGCTCTTTTTCGAAAACATCTGGATCTGCACAAAGCACAATGGAGCAGAGACGCCTAGTTATACAAGTACTGAAAAACGCTTTCACATCAATCATTGACAGTATGATTCATCGTGAATAGTCAAAACAGAGTAAATAATAAAGAACCATATTATGCACTATTCTGCAACACCATATGTATGCGGATCCTGCTGATAAACTCAGTATCAAAGAGAAACTAACATGAAATTACATTGATCTATAGGACTGGCAGAGGGATCCAGGATGCGCTTTTCCTCCCATTTGGGACTCGTCAGCCGGATGTACCTGCACCTAGTGACTGTTGTTCCAACTGAGGCTGAAACCCAGTACCCTTCCCTTCCAATGCCAGAGAGTTATTTACTTTGTCACGATAGCCAGGAATTTACTTTTTGTAGAATGGACAGCGATAGGATCATTTCGCACGCATACTTATTCAATGCTAAAGTGTTTTCGTTCTATTCATTTAGTTTTGAATTGATGAGTAAGTCTTCAGTCATCGTTCTATCACCTCATTTAGGTAATTAGATTTTGTACAAGATTCAGTGTCTGTATGGCTGTCATTATTGGTAGATGAAAGAGATTTTCCATGACTAATTCATTGAATTTATCAATACATTGCTACTAGTAATGCAGCACTAGGCATTATGGAGATACAGAGATAAATAGTGTAATTAATAGTGGTAGAAGACAGTTGTCCATTTATACTTTTAAAGATAAATTCGAGCTTTTACAAAACGTTGATCAACTTAATATATCCATAAAATTATTAGCTTTCTAATATTTTACTTTTCTATTTATAAACTTTCCACTAGACATGAGGATAGGTATAAAGGGCCAGTTCTCATTGGGTGTTTACATACCTGAAATTCACCCCAAATATCATTGACACTACTTTGCACCAGGAATTTTGAATTTTGATCCAACAATAAATAATGGTTAAGAATATGCAGATGTAGCATAAATCTTCCTGTTGCTAAAGTTGTGACAAATTTAAGGATCGGTCACTAACAAATGCTGTATAGGACCTAGGCATCTGCTACCAACGTTTAAAGTTGCAGGTGATTTGATTAGCTTCTGAAGTTCCCTTTTATATATGCTCCGACGCCTAAGCTTGCATTAATCTGCGACTCCTCTCTATGTATGTGTCACCGTATGTATATATAAAATGGTGTATGCAACAGGATATGACAGTGGAATGCAGTCTACACCACAATTTTTTTTATCAAAGGGCTATTCATACGCATATAAAAGACACAGCTTATGAGATAATAGTAGTATCATTCTATCCAAAGCCGCCAAAATGCTGCTATGCAGAGTGGGGACACCAGAAGCTTTAGAAAGGTGTTTTGAAGAGTAAAAATCTTAATAATTTGGAAATCGTAATGTTCTGTCTGAGGTAAACTATGTTCACTAAGGCGTTCCAATGGAATCATAAAGCAAATGAATCTTGTCTCTGTAATTATATACAATTACAATCACTCTAAACATGTGGGTGAAAACACCCAGAGGTACAGGTTGAATAGGGCTGAAAGTATAACGTCAAATTCCAAAAATACATAGCAAGTTTGGGAACAGTCTTTTCTGCAACCATGCCTGAGCTATCAGATCTTAGGAACATAAATAGAGATAGTGATTCTTTTGAAGAATCAAATGAAGTAGGTTAAGTGAGACAACATTAACTGAAGACTTATTTATCAGACCAACACTAAATGTATGCAATAAAAACATCAAGGTGACTGCAATAATTTTAGAAGGAAGGAACAGGGTGGATAAAAACATTGTAAAGTAAATCTGAATATGCTCAGTAGATTGTGTTCAGACATAGTTTAAGAAGTATTGGTCATTTCACTGCAACATATTTGGAATGCAGGACCAAAAACGGATTTATGCTAAGGTATTCATTTCGTATTTGGTACGTATGTGTACGTCAGAAAGTGTCATGTTGGGCATTATACTCATAACTTATTTTTATTTTAACATTTCAACAATGATTTAGGGTCACAGATGAATAAGCAACGATGAATAATTAGGGTCGTTCATAAGCCTCCCATTTCAAGATAAGTGAAACTAGGTCCAAGAAAACTTTCTCGTACTTTCAAGCTTTATTGTCATAACACGAATAGTCATTTGATTTTTTTCAGACGATGGCACTGATCGTGTAGTTGATTACATCTTATCTTCACTGATGATCACTTGTTTCTATGTTGCATTCCGTAATAAGATTTTGTAATAAGATAAAGACTGTTCATTTGAAGGAATTAACACAGAGATGCACTCTTAATGTGCAATTCACTTTCAACGACACAGCATACAGAAACGAGTACTGACTTGCTACAAGATCTCTGTTTGACCCATTGATGGAAGACTGCTTAATGGCAAGCTTGGAAAAAGTTTATTTGAACTCAACAGTCAAGGATTTTTAAAGTTATTTTAGTTGGTGATATCCAAAGGATAGGTATTTCAGGTTTTCTGGAGCGAACTTTCGCTACATCAACTCCCGGAGTAGTGTTCTCGAGTTGTCATTTACTTAAAAAAAACCTGAAAGACAAGATATTGCATCTGGCCACCCACCAATGTGCGTACTAGTTCACCTGTTGCTATGGAATCCAGCATATCGGTCGTTCAATGCAAATCCTGTTCAATAGGGTTCTTAAGCAATATCCTGCATAGCTATGAAGAGGTAATAGAACACGTTGTCAACATCCGTAATTCAGTCTCAACAACCACAAAGTGAAACGAAACTTGCTGAACTCAGAGCGCACCCGTCTCCTTTGTATTGCCGAAACATCAGCCATTTAAATTAAAAACAGAGCTTTCCAAACAAAAGAGACTTGTTCAACCCTTTCATGGTCTTAATTTTTAGCGTTTAAAAACGTTCCTCTCTTTCCAACACTTTCATTCATTTTTTGAAAAATATAAACTGTTTCTTGTTGCCGTATTCACCAAGATAACAATTCACTCACTAAATCTTGTGTTCTGTTACTCAACTTTTTAATTATCCTGAATCAGATTAACCTAATTTCTTGTGCAATACTCACTAGTCTATGCAACTTTGAATTTTAAGTCATGACAATTAAACTTTACTGTTTACTATAACTTCCGGTTACTTTTCAACATTCAAAATATTTTGAATAATTGTGGAATAAAATTAAATTTCGATTTTTTGAAATGTTTTGCCTTGCCTGTTACCATTATTCAGTAACTGCCTTTGCAAATGAAACATATTGTGAAGTGTCATCAAAAAATTATATATAAGTATGATTGTGCAGTCTAGTGAGCGAAATCACTGAAAGTCTCCATGCTTAACCACTGGTTTTCATTTCCATCTCATTATAGGGATTTTTGACAGTTAAATAGTTTTCAATTATTCATATTCATGTATAAGCTTAAAAATCACCCACTACATAATCTACAGAGCAAGTTTACACTCACCGCATTTCAATTTCCCTGAATTCCTAACGTCATCCTTGAATAGGTTCTTTGTTGCAAACGTAATAGCTATGAGAATTGTATTTGAAATAATACCGAGGATTGCTAGAATTAAAAGAATTTTACGTCTTTCTTCATTCCATGCAGGAGTGATTGGTTGTATACCAGCCACACTTTGATTCATAGTCCGATTAATCGCTTGGATGCAGATTTTTTATTGAAAACTTAACAAAATATGTTTAGCAGTCCAGTACTCTTACCAGAGGACACCCTGAAAACAGAAAGAAAAAAATAAAATGTAATCACTCGCAAGTAGATTATTTCTCTCAATCCTGATCAGCTGATTTCAACAAACTTAAGTTAGTGTAAAAGTTATCATGAGTAAACGTTTTATTTTTTTACTCTTAACAAAGAGATTGGATTTTAATTGAAGCTTAAGCCAAATAGGTAACAAGGGGGTAAATGTACACATCACCATTGTTAGCTTATCAAATATGTTTGTGATTTCCGTCAAAGTGAAACTTTCTTTAGTGAAAATCTTTCAGAAGATAACACTAGCCAAGACTGTTCATATAACGTGTTTTAATTTAAAAACACTAAAATCATTAACATATTTATCATTTCGACCAGCTGAATAAACTCAAATTTCAGCAATCTACAATGGTCTGTTGGCAGAGACCAAGCAATTGGATCAAGTTAAGAAATTAGGAATTACAAGTATCAGTAATCAACTACAAATGCCCATTGCACAAGGGCTGGTTGTTATGCACCAGCAGCCAAGTGGGTGGTGCTACAGTGCTTGCAGCAATGGGCATCAGGTTCAAGTCTCATAGCGAACAAGACTGCCCGCTGAGGTGCTGGCATATCCAGCTCGTGAGTTCTGATTCAGACGAAACGAGCGTTCTGCATCTCACAGTCAGCCTGCAGCTGGACTACATAATAGATTATGCAGTAAACAAAACTCGCAGATTTGACACAATTGGCATAGAGAATAAACTCTAAAATTAGTAACTTAGATTTATAAGAACATAACAACATAACATAAAAACAATTAGCTCCCTATATTTTCGCCCTGTTTATTTTCGTTATTATTCAGCCTTTAATTAAGCCTTCCTACTTGGCCTCTTTTAATTTTCTCACCCTATATCTTCATGAACTGTCACACAAACACCTATGACAAGTGTGTATTAATACAAGGACGTTGACTGAGGCTTGGCAACACGGAGTGAATTATTTACTTATTATCACTTAACAGACTTGCATTTATACTGGGTGATGATTGAAGGTGAAATGAAAATTTGGACCACGGCCGGATTCGAACCAGTGACCACTGGGTTTCCGGCTGGATGCTGTATCACTTACTTAAGTCTAACAGAGCTAGGATTAAATTGGGAGGGGGGAACGACTTGATAACGAAAAACAAAACGACTAGGGGTGGATGACGTAATTTTTAATCTTTTCAATCTTCATATTCTCTTTGTTATCATTACCGTTTTCATATTAACATTCACTCGTATTATCACTACTATAATCAATATTTTTGCTTACCTAACACTTATGTCCTCATAACGTGCACCATTTATCATGGTATCCAGTTGACTACTAATTGTTCTGTTCGAAATGATGTAATCAGTCCCAGTCCTTTTATTTTTCGTTATCGCCTCGTTACCCTTCTCATCCCAGTCTTAGCTCTGTTTAACGTAGGTAAATAATTCATTCCGTGTCGCCATGCCTCAGGCAATGTCTTAGTCTGTATTACGTGTGTATGTATTTCTTTATTGCACAGCAGTATATAAAATCATGTATGTAGGGTAAACAGCCGTCGAGTCCTACTGAAATTTGCGAATTCAATAAGTCCCGCTTTAATTACGTTTGTGGTGTGTTTTAAATTTGTATCGGGAAACAAATGTTTTCAAGTACGTGTATGATCAGATAGTTCGATATATGTTGTACAAATACACTACACAGTTCAGACAATTTACTTCTTCTTGTTTTGTTCGAAATACAACAAGGAACTCTGGGGACGAACTAACTAAGTACCTATCACCCAACAAATATGCACTGGAAGGAAGTGGAGGCAGATTGGGCATGTACTGAGAAGACCATTCGAGGACATCACGCGCCAGTCACTCAAGTGGAACCGAGATGGGAAACGGCGAGTTGGGCATCCGGGAGTGACATGAAGGAGATAGTGTGAGGAAGAAATGAGAGCTTCTGGGCTGTCTTGGAGGCATGTTTAAAAGATTGCAGAGAACAGAGTAGACTGGAGACATGATGCTGAAGCTCTGTGTTCCACTAGGAACCCAAGGGATAAATAATAATAATAATGTTTTTCGAACATAACATTAAAAAAGTTCCAAAGGACTGAGAGGTGGGAAAATATGAATGAAAGGGGTAATGTGACTTCCCAGCCACAGAAATTCAACTACTGATAGCAAGCAAAATTAGACTGATAGATTGTATCCTTAAATATTCATATTTTACAAAATATTTGATTTCAGCGGTCATCATCTAGATATGCATAGCATCCAGTTTAATAAATCACCAACTGAAAGATGAGCACTAGTCCACATCAGAGTTTGAACTTCAGTTAATTTGCTTCTGTGAAGCTCAGCACTTTGGCTGTACCAAGTGGCAGATTATGCAAATTCTGGTGGACACTGTTCAGCCTAACAAACAAGAAGAGAATGGACATTTTCGCTACCAAGCCATTTGAAAGGAGTTAGTTTAAGACATCAAGGCATAGCTAAAGTAAAAGAAATTCAGATGTTCAAACTAACATCATATGTTCAAAAGTAGTTTGCATTTACGAATGTACCACTAAGAGAATGATTTACTCGAAAAGGAAATCTTTTTCTTCTCCGAGATAGTCGCCTGTCTTTTCCTACAATCAAATCTTTTTGTTTCGATACCTCGACAATCTTAGTTCATCAGAAACTTGGTCAGATAGAGGTATGTTATAAATTCATATTATCATATAGTGTAATCTTCATTATCTTCAGAAACATCTGTAAAAATTGAATCTACCTTATATTCGGTGATGAAAGAAGGAAATGACCATAACATACTTGGCAATAATGTCTCCATTAGCTATGCTCACGTGAGTTAAGAATCAAACATGATTGATGTCTTCACTGAAGGCCAACATTTAAGAGCAAAAGCGGATTCTGTTTTTTGGAAAAGAATGTAGGACACGTTAGTTAAAGTGACCCTTAAGATTACTCTTAAACGGAAGGAAGCTTTTGCAAAAAATTAGGCAACTTACTTTTAATTTCACTATCTATTAAGATGACCTTTAAGTTCACTTCTTAAATGATGATACGGTTACTACTGCGAGAGATGCAAAGACGATGAAATATCTAAATTAAAATTGTTCTAGTCCCATTAGTTATTATTGAAAAAAAGAGATAATCCAACGAAGGGATTTTTTCTCCGACGACATCATTTCTAAAGCTGTACAATCGTATTTACATATGTCAAAAACATAAAGGTCTATTATTCAGCAATACAGTATAGTTGTATGCAGGTTGGTGCTTAGAACCGAACCTCAATCTGAAAAGAAACTGCTTCATAATCTTTTGGACAATGGAAATAATAAGGCATGGAGTTTGGGAAAGGAATCCAATTCATTCTTTGTCATCAAGAAACAGAAAAATCTGCACCAGTTATGCTAACGATGATGAATTGTATAAACTGTGGTACAGTGTCACAGACAATTGATACCCATCTAGATTTAGTAGGAAAAACTTGAAGCTAAAACGGAATAGTGTGCAGGTACTCAGAAGACTTGATTTATGAGCCCTGGTTTCTCAAGTAATACGCCAAAAAAGATCCTGAAGAATTAGCTGTCCAAGTTGCTGGAGAAAAGATTTTCCTCTACGAAGCTGCTGATCAGGTTCCTTAATTAGCAATTAGTTTGCGGATGTGTTAAGAGCAAAATGCCGTTTTTAGCCACCTCAATATTTATCTATAAATTTATTTTCTCTTGTGGAGCTAGTTACATAGGCCACAAAAGCGTACAACTTGCAAATATATCTCCGGATATATAGTTCATCAGAGTCCTTCGTCAGTGCCATTTTCTAAGTCAAAGGTAGCAGTTCGAGAAGAGCACGCATTCGACAGTTCTGCACCGCAGAAGTCTTAGCAATTTATTAATTCCAAGCTGCTCTCTGTGTGCAGAACAAATACGTTCAAACTCTTTTCACAGTCTTAACACACATTATTTTTTGACATTTTTATAATAAGTTAGTTTATTTATGATGGATGATCGCCATCAGTGGGATCCAGGCGGCAGGTTTCTTTCTGTTTGGGACTCGTCAAGTGTTCGCACCTACCACCCGGTGTGTGATGTTCTTCCCACCTCGACTCGAACTCGGTACCAACTGCTTCAAACTCCATCGCTATCTACCATAAGTATATAGTTGAAACACAAGCAATATGGAGATATTCGTGCAGAAGCCCATATGCCGACTGATCCCGATCAATCCGGTCCAAACAATGGCGGGATAATACAAGCAACATTACTAGTCAGCTTACTCTTATCACCTTCATTATGAGCCTGATTCTTTTCTTCATCTTTTTATCTGTCAAGTGGACACTCAGTCTTTGGATTCCATATGAAATAACGACTTTTACTTTACCAAACATTTTGTATTTCCTCTTATTTCCATCGTCAAACTGATTATTACACAGTTCTTTTCCAGTCTAGATTTCAGTGTTGAGTATTAGCTTAATGATGCAACTATGCATTATTATTCAGTAATATCCTATAAGTATATGTACGATGTGTATAAATACGATTGTTCAGCTTTGGATAAAAAACATTTTCCTTTTTTTCTATACAAATCGATGGGCGCTTTTCGTCGTCTAAAGTTATTATTGGGATGTTCAAACGACTGAATTCGTTGGAGGAAAAAGTATATGCTCATGATTCAAACTGCTTAAAATATCTTTTGTTTCTAGGAGAATCGCAATACGAAAATGCATACTTCAAACGTATTTCACAAGTAGTACGAAATGCAAGTCCTTTATTTCAATGCAAACTAGCATCCATTAAATATCGAACTGAAGGAATTTTACTATGCATTTCTGGAAGTAAATTGTTGCAATTGTAAGTCTATGCTCATCGAGTACGAACAAGATTTTCTTCATCTACTTTAAGAGAAATGAGATAGTAGAAAGAATAGAGAGATGGGAAGAAAATGAGACTAGAAACAAAATACTATTTTGAGTTGAAATCGTTGTTACAGTATCATTGAAGAATTTATAAGTTAATTTAAGAAAATTAGTTCGTGCGTGATGTGTCTCCAGTGTATCTGATTTCTCGTGCTAGACTTTATGTCCTAATAGTAAGTTTCCTGACCATATTTTTAGACATTTTGGGAAGCCAACTTTCATTGACACAGGGTGAAATGATTGGATATCTAGGTAACGTTTCACGTGTGAAGATTTTCAGTAAATACCAGTATCTCAACTCCCGTCTTGTTTCCTTTTTATTTTACGATACAGCATCGTTAAATTCCTTCAACAATTTTCTTATTCATAGTAACTTCGACCGCAACCACTGCGAGTTCAAATACACAAGTCGAAGTAGTTGATGTGGTTCACTTAAGCTATCGTAGTGTAGCACAAAAACGTAGCTACATCAAAATGGTGGATCCTAGTAAGATAAGAAATTTAGAAACAAATTTCATCATACCAATCAAACACAAGCACACAATAGCCTGTTGTGGTACAGTGACACTCCTCAACATTAACCTGGTAAGATTGAAAACCAAATCTCTGTTTATCGAATCAGGAACGAATCAAGAACAGGAACGACTTAGACACTGTTCGGGATGTATGGGACATCTTGCTAATTATTTCGCGACTGAGGCGAGTACATTTCACTGATATAGACTGTATCTCGAAATTGTGGAGTTTTCAGTATATGACAGCGGTCAATAAGTTGTGTCCGAAATGTAATCCAATATATAATACTGTCCCACTATGTAGTCTACTTAATAAATTGACTGAAACGGAATTACATCATGCTACAGTCCCTGGTTCTAATCTTGTGTAACCAACTTTATAAATTTAGTTTTGAACTCATTTGCTGGTCGACTGATTTATTGATACACTTATGTGTGACTTAAAAGATCACCCTAGCAACGACCGATGTAACCATATAGACTTTTGTATTTTGTGAAAGTCTGCCTTTCCAGCCGAAACGGAGAAACCTGATTAGTTATTTCACTATTTGCTAGGGTGGCCTTTAAAGTCACCTCGCACTTGTTTTATGTCGTCTTTATAACGATTAATATAGGTGTCAAACTTGGGCATTGTGGTAGAATTTAATTCCACATTAGGTTTGTTTATTTGATTTATAACACAGTGATGTAGTATTATGTTCGAAACATCTTTAAGTAAGTAATACTATATTATTGTGTGTTATAAATCAAATTAAAAAAATCTAATATAGTATTAATAACATATCAAAAGACAGATAATTGCATTAAAAGGAGTTATTCAGTCAGTCTGCAAAATATACAATAGTTGTTGGTGGTTTTGTTCAAGTGGAGGAAATAGAAAATGGATCACTAAATAGAGAGAGACGAATGGATAACAAGTGGTGAGATAAGAGACACGTGCTGTCAAAGAATTGTAAAACGGTGATAATTTAACTGAAATATGCAAAATAGTTCAATGAATAAGGAACGAATTGATATTGAATGGTGAAATATGGGTCAAATGTTGTCAGTGAAGTGGAAATTGGTGATAATGATAATTATAAAAGAGAAGTACACCAAAGTGAAGCGAAAATGATAAAATAACCAAAATGAATTGTTGAGGCCAAGGAAGAGGAAGTGATTTCACAAATATTTTGAATTCAAAGTCTCTGTTATTGCTCATGTACAGCTAATGCTTCAGCTATACATAAGCGGTGAACATGTAAACGTCTGAGGTAGTTCTATTTAACTTTGTAAACTACTTTAAAGAATTAATTTCCAGATGTTGAGTGACCTAACTCTACAAGGTGTTCACATATGGATCAAGTCGTTTTCCTTCTCTCGCTTCTGGAGAGCCAAGCCGACTAATGTTCAGCACCAGCAAAGTTAAATTTAACGACTTAAGGTAGAAAAATTATTCGATTTGCATGTATCATTCAGTTCAATTGGATGTAATCTATGATTTAAGCAGATTCGCATAATTAAGTTCTAGGTCTAATGTAGTATTCATCACAGACGGATGAGCCTTTCTGAGTACAGCGTTGGTTCAGCTATCTAGAAGTAAAGCAGCTGTAAACTGAAGACGTCGGCGGTTAATAACACCATATCATGAAGGGATAGAAGTTCTAAAATTTACCCACTGAAATCCCATGGAGTTGCTAGTGCGGTCATCACAAATCTTAACACTGGTAGGGCTGTCTTGGGTGCATACTGATGGGAAGTCCTATGGTAGAACGAAACAAGCGTCCAGTGCTCCCTAGTTCCCAGTGGTTTTCCGGTTGATGTGAGTCCGAGATAATGTACTTAGCTAAATGAAAGCTACTGAACAACGTTACGACACAATGTCAAGGATGTTTGTTTTCTCAACGAAAAGTTTGAGTTACTCTTCACATGAATGTGCTTAACAAGGAAGTTTCTCTACCGTATTCCAGTAGCTACCTAGGAAAAACTAATAGGCCAGTCCCGATTAATACATCAATGTTTCATGAAAATAAGGGCAGAGATGATAGTAATTGAATCAGTCCATACACAAGCGCATTTTCCTATCCACCACCACAAATATGTTTGTGAATTTAACGGCATAAAAATCAGAACAAAAATACCTGAAGATGAAAGGTATTCGTGAAAAGATTAAATTCATTTAAGTATTTGAAGAAGCATCAACTTCTGTAGTAAACGGTTAAACAAGAACAGTTATGCTGGTCACCTCAAAATATTTTCACAAAAAAATTCAGTAATGAAACTCCTACCACATTTTCGTTGAGAGAATTTATATACTCATGGATAAATTGGTTATTCATTCGAAAAATCAGAGGAAGTTTTAAGCCTGGAATTGAATATCTTTCCTCATACAATTTCTAACCTCTTCAGTCAGAAAATTATGAGATTGATGGTTAAACACATTTCAACTCTCTTATGCATAAACTCATCCTACTGAAATTGTCACCAAGAGCAATGAT